TGTAACATGTAAATCAGATAAAACAAATGTCGACAAAACAGACCACCAAGATTCTTACAATTGTAATTAACCCGATGACTTGTGATAATATTAGTTGTAAAGATTTTTGACAGGTTATATGACCCTATATAAAAGAATGTTCGGAAATATAACACGAGCCGGTTATATTGCAAACAACCGTTTATATACGTCATTCATTTTTATATGCCCGAAAGGGCATATTATGTTATACCTCCTGGCGTCCGTCTGTCTGTCCGTCCGTAAGCATTTTGGTTTCCGGAGCATAACTTAAGTTCCATATGGCCCACAATATTCAAACTTCATAGGATGATTGTCCATATTGGGTAGAAGACCCCTATTGATTTTGGGTCAAAAGGTCAAAGATTAAGGTCACTATTGCCTTAAAACTGAAAACAGTTTCCGGAGCATAACTTAAGTTCCATTTGACCCACAGTATTCAAACTTCATAGGATGATTGTCCATATTATGTAGAAGACCCCTATTGATTTCGGGGTCACAAGGTCAAAGGTCAAGGTCACTATAACCTTAATACTGAAAACAGTTTCCGAAGCATAACTTAAGTTTCATTTGGCCAACATTATTCAAACTTCATAGGATGATTGTCCATATTGGGAAGGAGATCTTATTGATTTTGGGGTTACTAGGTCAAAGATCAAGGTCACAATTACCTTAAAACCGAAAACAATGGTCACAAGGTCAAAGGTTGAAGTCACTTTTACCTTAAAACTGAAAACATTTTTCGGAGCATAACGTAAGTTCCATTTGACCCACAATATTCAAACTTCATGGGATGATTGTGCATATTGTGTAGAAGACCGCTATTGATATTGGGTTACAAGGTCAAAGGTCAAGGTCACTATTACCTTAAACTGAAAACAGTTTCTAGAGCATAACTAAAGTTCCATTTGGCCCACAATATTTAAACTTCTTAGAATGAATGTCCATATTGGGTAGAAGACCCCTATTGATTTTGGGGTGACGAGGTCAAAGGTTAAAGTCACTATTACCTTAAAACCGAAAACAGTTTCCGCTCAATAACTTCAGTATTAATCAACCTACAGCTGTAAAATTTTATGGGATGAACAGCTAATTCCCATGTCTTACAAATACCTCATCTTTACTAAAAAAAACACTTTCGGGCATATAATGCTCCGCCTAGCGGTGTTCTTGTTATTGATTTAATGTTTATGGCCCCACTATAAAGTGCGGTCGTTTGTCAGATGTCCGAAAATGCATATGTACAGGTCTATTTTACGCACTTTGAGGTCAAACTTTGAACCTAAAGTACGTCACACACATTGAAGTCGGACCCTAAAGTGTGTTTGACCCCAAAGTGCGGTGTTACAGTGCAGCGTTATAAATCTTTTTAATTGTAACGATGTAAGATCATATAGCGACATTACAGCTTGGCTGGTGAAGGAGGACGTCAGATTTCCCTCTGTAAATTATTTTTGACACGAACGGGCATCTGAGTAAAACCATCTACCTTCCATATTGCGATAGATCGAGAATACTGTACAAGATGTGTGTAAACTGTTAAAACATTAGATATTTGTTCAATGTTAAGCTGAATCCCCCACACGAACAAGCTGTTGCTTTTTTAAACCATAAATATCGTTTTTGAAAAAGATATACGAGTATGTAAAGCGTTTTTCATAATGTAATGTGTATATGAAAATAAGTATATAAGACTCAGACTGAGTAATATAATTTTCATGGTACAAAACAGATAGAAAAATAACGGTTTACTTTAAACAAAACATTTACACGTAGAAAAATAAAAATAGACAGAGAAACATAATTTTCATTAAAACAGACTTAAACTTTCAGGTTTTAGTTTTTAGCCAACAAACTAACGAATAAGGACTGAAATGATAAAAAGAGTCCCTTAAACGCCAAAACGGCAAAATTGTAAATATCACAGACTTGGTTGTATTAAGCCTATTCATGAACGGTAGTGATAAATGCAATCTACCGTCCACGCTCTCTAGCACCGCTTTAAGCAGTATACAACGAGTATACATTAAAAATGGTGAAATGTCATCAGTAAATGCGTTCATACGGCGCTCAATGTGACACGTATGTGCCATTCCATGAAAAGCGGTATATGGTTTGCAAGAAAAAGAATGCTTAAAGGCACTAAACGAGAAAATAATGGGCAGAAATAAATAATAAGGAATTTTGAAAGGGAAACAGATGTTATTTAGCCTGTATATCACGGTCAAGCATTTAAAAAGCAAGAAACATGTCCTAAGGTGATTATATAGTATTTCAAGTAATAGTTCAAAGCCAAAAGTAGGAACTTAAATACCACAAACACGACGATATGTCGTGTTTAACGATCTTGAAGGAAAAGGAAAATAAATGGTTATATGTGCACATTTGAAAAGTTCTTTTTTAAATATAATCAATTGTTATTTTCGTCTGATCAGAATAAACATAAACATCCGTGTCTCAGAATTTTGTTTTAAAACATCTTACATACATTTTCTGAGTCATATTTAAAGCTACATTGAATGAATTTCATAAAGAAATAATAGCTACATTTGTTGTCCAGACAACCAAAATGAGTTTTATAAGCCATAAATCTAAAACATCATTGTCACGAAAAAGTACAATTTCTATTTAGTTTAGTTTAAACATATTTTATTTCGAACATTTTACACATACAAGATTTACATACAATGGTGAAATAATACAATACAATGCTGAAAAAGGATCAGATCCGAAAGCATAAAATGCTTATAAAGGCCTTTTCCTGACATAAGATTAGTTACTATAAATATGACGGGTTTTGAAAATGTTTGAAATATTGAAGTTTAGGTAAAAAGTAATTGATTACAAAAATGTAGAAGATACGTTACTGTCGTCACTAAGTCAAATTAGCGACCTAGAAACAAAAAGGGGCGTTGAGTAGAAGTTTCTATCTGAAAGATGCATGAATAGGGACTTAATAGATTAGACGCAATAATTGTCTGGTTATAAATGTATAAAGTTTTAGAATTTCATAATTAAAAATACACAAAGAAACCTAATTTAATAAGTAGAAGACAAGAGGAGGATCTATTCGGTGAGTAAATTGGAGAAGCAATGTAGCAAAGGCTATGAAAGTCAATTGCTGTCTCGGATAATCATATGAACTGCCTGAAATATGCTGATATTGATGTCGTCACTTAAGTTTGTATCGCCGTTTAGTAGTGTGTGAAGAGTGACATTACAGAAGACTGGAAGAGTTTGGAAAAGGCTGTCTCTAATAGTACTGTATTGTTTGCATTCAAAGAAAAAAATGATGCTTAGTTTTTGGCAATCCACATTGACATAAAGGTGAGTTAACAATATTTTTTCTGTATAGATGGTAGTTTAAAGAACTGCACTCTGTTCGAAGACGTGCATGATATATTTGCCATTTTCGAACACCTGTATAGAAAATTTTGGACATTTTGTTATGTTTCTATTCAAAAGACACTTAAAAGCAGATAATGTAGGTGCATTTTGTACATCAATTGGTAGTTCATTCCATTCTCTGAGAGCTGAAGGAAGAAAAGCGTTATAGTATAAAGATGTTCTTGTGTGAATGCCTTGTATATCGTTCGAATTTCTTAAATTATAACGTGTGGTTTCACCTACAGACGGAGGGACAATAGTTGATAGGTAGACAGGTGAGAGTCCATTTTTCATCTTATAAAGAAGAATCAATTTATGTTTCCTTCTTCTGCTGTCCAGAGGTTCCCACGGGACCTCTCGTTGAAGCTCATGAAGAGACACAAGTTTAGTAGCACCAGATACAATTCTAGAAGCTTCATGTTGGATTTTATCTAGTTCAGCTTTTTCATATTGAGTACAATTGATGTAAACAACATCGGCATATTCTAGAATTGGCCTGATGTAGGATAAGTAGATTATTTCTAAAGATTTTCGATCAAGTTGAAATTTTAATTTGCGCATTATATGTATACGTTTCCACACCCTCTCCTTAACATGATTAATGTGAATATGCCAGGAACCATCGTCAGAAAAGTGTTAGCCTAAGTGTTTGTGAGATGTCACTGAAGATATGGTCTGGTTTTGCATTAGGAGGGGTGGATGGAACTGTTGTGATGTTTTACGTGTGATTAACATGGTTTCAGATTTGGAAGGATTAAACTTGACCAGCCATTTGTCAGCCCATGAAGAAATCTTGTTTATGTCAGATTGAAGAATGTCAGCCGTAGTAACTGGATGATCAACGATCAAATACAAACTGGTATCGTCGGCAAAAAGATTTACAGAGGACCTTAAGTCAACAACAATATCATTGATATAAACTAAAAAAAGAAGCGGACCCAGAATCGAGCCTTGAGGAACTCCTGCGTTTATTACAGACCAATCAGATTTGACTCCAGGAAGGACAACAGATTGGCGTCTATTTGAAAGATAATCCGAAAACCAGTCTAGGAGGGGTCCCTGAATACCGGCACATTTTAGTTTAAGTAGGAGACCCTTGTGCCACACTTTATCAAAGGCCTTGCTGATGTCGAAAAAGACAATCCGGATCTCAAGACCTTCATCAAGAGCCTTACAGAAAGAGTTGTAAAGAAAGGTTAGTTGATTCACAGTTGAGTCGCAAGGTTTGAAACCAGATTGAAGGGGCGATATAAAATCATTATCATGAAGAAAGTTAAAGATATACTTAAACAAAATGCGTTCAAAAACTTTTTCCATACAACACAATAGTGATATAGGACGATAATTGCTGGGTAACGATGGATCTCCTTTCTTAAAAATTGGGCAAATGTTGGCATCTTTCCAAGTTTGGGGAATCTTACAAGTTAGGAGTGAATGATTAAAAAGAGAGCAGAGTGGATATTTGATTTATACGGACGAGGTTTCGAACAAGATACGATTACTTATTTCATCGGGCCCAGAAGCTTTATTGGTATTTAAAGTTTTGATAGCATCTTCAACATCTTGAGTTGTAATACTAATTGAAGTGAGAGTGTTCACAGATTGTTCAAAAAATCGCCAGGAACTTCTTTATTACAGTTTTCAAGAGAGGACTGGTTGCTAAAATAGTTGTTTAATAAGTCAGATTTTGATTTGTTATCATATGAAAGTGTTTGAGTAACTGGGTGAGAGAGTGCCGGAATTGTTTGCTTTTCAGTCGGTGATATGAATGATTTAATGAGTCTCCACCAGTCTCTCTGCGATGTGTTGTCTGATGTAAGAGAGTCTGCTAGTTTCTGGATGTGGTTACGTTTGGCCGTGTGAATAAGTGAGATGACTTTATTACGTAATTTTTTGAATGAGTGCCAGTGCAAAGGATTTTGGGTTTGTTTGGCTCTGTGATAAAGTTTTTTGCGTTTACGAATAAGCTGTTTGATTTGTGTCGTTATCCATACTGCATCAGTCGGTTTTACTATTATTGTTCTTGTAGGTATGTACTGCTTTGAAAGTTCGAGAATTTTGTTGCTTACTAAAGTTGCGTGTTCATCTATGTCGGTGTTTGTATATTGATCCCAGTCAGTTTGCATAATACTTTGTTTCAGAGCGTGGTAGTTGCCGCGATCATATAACCATATGAAACGCTTGAAAGATCCTGATTTAGGTTTAGAAAAGGAAAAAAGAGCAAAAATAGGGCAGTGGAAGCGAATGTTTTGGTCCAAAACTGATTCCCCAACACCTGATGTTATTACTCGGTGACTGCAAGAAACAAGAAAGAGATCTAAAACAGATGCTGACGACTCGGTAAAATGTGTAGGTTCGTTTATGAGTTGTTCAAGGTGAAATTGTTGACAAATTGAAAGAAGTTTGCGTGATAATGTCGGATTAGATGGATTAAAGTTAAAGTCTCCAGTTACAATTATATCTGTTATATTTGTTTCTTCTGCCAAGTTAAGAGAGTGTTCGATAAGAGTTGTATAATGTGCATCTGCATTGGGAGGTCGATAAAAAGTACCAAACAGAATACGTTTAGATTGAGATAATAAAATTTCAACCCATACACATTCTATATTTCTAGGTTCGAGATCCCACCGCCGTTTGTAAAATAGTGAATTCTTAATGTATACAGAAACCCCACCATGACTGTCACCTATCCTGTCATTTCTTTCTGGAGAATGAAAACATGGTATAGATATATCAGAATTTGAAACGCTGGGATTTAGCCACGTTTCTGAAAACGCAAGAACATCGAACATACTAAATTCAGTGGTTAGAATTTCTATTTTGCCAAGCAGGCTTTGGACATTATATTGTAGTACAGATAAACATGAAGTTGACGACATTAGACTTACTAGATCCAAAGACATAGACGACGTAGTGGACAATGATGCAGTTGATGAATTTGTTGATGATGGACCAGGATTCGGATGAATATCTCCAGATAAATTAAGAATAATATGGAGCCATTGAATGCACACCATTATGGTGAGAATAGCGATGAGTACATGAGTGATAAATACGTTTTGAATGTAGCACTCATAACATGGATTGATTCGTCTGAAAGGATATTTAATGTTGTTTTTAACTTGATTCCTTAAGTGGAGAGACATCGAAAATGTTTGTAAAATGTTTGGAGCAATGTGTACAAGAGCCAGCATATTCAGTAAAAGGGAAAATTTCCATGTACAAGAGTAAGAGTGCATGATAGTGGTACCTGAAAATTTATTCATTATGTGATTGACGTTATAAACAACAAAAAGCGCGCTATCACTATCATGCCGAAGATATTAATTATTGAAATCCAATGCATTCCATTTACAATATTCCGAATAGATTTCCTAGGAGAAAAATTAAAGTGAACATAAAGGGACAAAAAGTGTGAGAAGAAAACAAAAAATAAAGAAAACATGACTGAATAATGACAATTCAAAGATAAATAAACAATATAAAAGGACCAAAAAGGAGCATTTAAATCATAAGCTTAGTTGAAGAATGTGCGTACTATATGCGTAGCTCGTGATTTATAGGAATATCATTTTAATTAATGGTAACTTCAATAACATATAATATTGTACTTTAAATATTATTAAAAAAACAACAACAACTAAACAGTTACATTACCTTATTAAAAAGTTACTTACAATTATTGGACAAATATTGTACCTTAATGTTATTATAATTTCAAAAGTTATTTTACAGAGCTGCCATGAGGTTCTACAGCACTAAAGGTAAAAAATTGAAAGAAATTTGAAATCCATTTATAAAACTGCTGAAACATATTAAACAGGGAAAATGCAAGAAAAAAGAAGAAGAAAAGAGATATACTCAGAATTGACGTAAGTTTTTGTGCGATTCAATCCCGATTTCAAATTGAGTCAAAGTGGTAAATCTCTTTTCCAGTTTTGCTATTCAAATATTCAAAATTATTGAAATGAGCTGAAATGTTACACACAAGATTTTGGTCCAGAACATTGAATGGTTACAAATGTTGAACAAATTTCCAAGTACAGTCGTTTTAAAAAAAAAAATCTTGGTATAGTACCAATTCATACAGAGAAATGGACTTTTTTAACGACTACTGAACAAGACAAAGTTCTTGATACTTTCATATACGAACATTTCTCGTTATTATATAAAGGCGTTTGTAAATTGTATTTACATTGTTTTGAGAAAACAATTATCAAACTATGAAAATGTTTATTTTTAAAATGCGTATAAATGTTTTGATATCGTACCTTATGTTGGCATTAGTGTAATATCATGTCAAATGTTAAATATTCTACTGCTAGTAACACTTTGTTTTAGTATTTATTGGTGGAATAGTCGTAGCGTAGAATAGTCTTAGATTGTACAGAAGTGGATATTAAATATTTGGTAAATAGTTGTCATTATAATTTTCAATATTTTTATTCACATTTATTATGTTAAGCTGTGTTTATTTTTCATTATAAGTTTTATAAGTGAACATGACTGTATGTTGCGGCACATTTTTGATTGCTTATTGTCTTTATATATAGTGTTTTATAGATACAGTGTATTTTAGAGTTTGCCAAGTCTTTAATTATTTTTTCAGATTACTCATGTTAAGTTTGCAGCTTTAAAAATATAATCCGATAATCCGATATGATCTGCTAGAAACATTCTTTAAATATTTAAACACTATATAAAGCCCCACTCTGCGATCCCGTACTGTAACTCCGAGTCAGAACGGTCCCTTTCAATCGTTCCATTGGTGCATCACATACTGCTAGTACCAACAGTCTTAGATAAAATCTTTGATTTTGATTAAATCAAAATTCTTTCTAATTACGATGAATAACTTCTGTCTTGAAGACAAATAATTTGATTGTTGGGAAAGAGTCTTTGCTCTAGAGAAGTTAAATATTTGTTGTGATGTCAACACATTTTAAACTGATGGTTATTACAATAATAGTTCATTAAAATGATACAAGGTGAAGTAACAATTTCAATTATGCAACTATATTTTGAGCACTTTCTTTCTAGAAACCCGTAAGAAAATATCATGTTACTGTAAAGGCACACGAAGCCCCCGAGAAGAATATTATTTGAGCCGCGTCATGACAAATCCAACATAATGGGTTTGCAACCAACATGGATCCAGACCAGCCTGCACATCCGCGCAGTCTGATCAGGATCCATGCTGTTCGCTATCAGTTTCTCTACTTGTTATAGGGTTTGTAAGCGAACAGCATGGATCATTATCAGACTGCGCGGATGCACATGCTGATCTGGATCCATGCTGGTCGCAAACGCATTATGTTGGTTTTGTCATGACGCGGCTCATTTCTTTCCGTAGAAACTGCAGCATGCTGTTAATAATGTTGTAATGATAGGTTTTACCATTTAGAACATGTTAGATGCGTGTAACCAAAAGAATGTAGGCCTAACTGTGATTAAAATGTAAACAACACACATGTAGAACTTTGCCTTTTATGCAAATTATTATATAATCATAATTGTACTAAATGCCAAAAATGCAAAAGACGCAATGGTTCAGCTATGTGGCCAAAGATAAAATTTTAAGGAAACAGCAACGGGACATCAACATAAAAATCTTGTGAAAATAAAAAATATTAGCAATTGCATGCTTAATGGGCCTTTAATATGATGTAATGATAGATGCAAATTACTAAGAATAAAAACGCATTTCATTAAAAATAAAAACGCATTTCATTAAAAATAAAAACGCATTTCATTCGGGCGTCTGTTTTATTAGTAAATGCACAATAAAGTTAAATCAGATTATGTTATATATCGGGAAAATGCTTTTATGTTTTACAGAAATCATTTAACTTTGCTTGGTTCAACCATATTTCTTTTTTAACATATCAAACTTTATTACTGATGAAATCCGTATGAATTATATAATGTTAAACAAATACTTTATATTAACTCATATATATTTCATTTATCATGATATTGTAAATACTTTACTTAATTACGTAAGAAATTGGACCATGGGCTGCGATAAATCATGTCAAAGCCTTCTTCTATAATACAGAAAATACAATGTACATGTGCTAGATTTGATTAATAATAATTTGAAATAAAAAGGTAAAAATGGAATGATATGTACATGTATCTTAGGACTTTGTGTTTTTTTTTTAATTTCTTAAAAAGAAAAACAAAAAGGACAGATGCATGTTTTTGGCATATTGCAATTATTTGTTGTTTTTTTTAAGAAAACTAAAGAAAATTGCATTTGCTACATTTTAACATATTTTGTAAATGCTAAACATTCATGCATAATGTAAAAGTGTTGGGCACATTTAAAAATGTTTTTTTTCTGTATTTTGGTTTTAAGAAAATGAAGTTTTTGGTGGCTTCTCCTTTCTTACATATATATGTTTATACAATTTCAATATGTATTTATTTTAACGTTTCCTTGGCAAACATTAGAGCCACGATAAAGGTTGTAATTATATGTCAAATATGTCTTTTCTATAGGTGCTTTCTACCGAAGAAAGAAGAAAAAATGAAAGCTTTTGTAGTATATTTTATCTTTCTAATACTACAACATGCAACAAGTCTTGACACATCAACAGTCAAAATAACATCAACAGAAAATCACCCGAGCAATGATTTGCCTACAACTGACAATCCCTCCACAGAGAGTAATGCATTGCCCATGATTGCTGGCTCGGAACAGCCTGTTGGACCCGATACATACGACTTTTTAAACACTCCAGCTATACTTATAGATGCGCCAATGGACATTTCCACGACAACGGACGCTACAACAACGACCATCAAGCCCATTGATAACCCTGTCGTTGATCCGTTTGCCTTTTACCTTACGGCAACATGCTGTGATCTCCGTCGATGTCATACAAATATGGATTGTATAAATTACGAAGATCGATGGGGGTGCAGGTAATGTCTCAAACATTTGTCATATATATAGGTATTACGTTTATTAGTTACTAGTAAGTAAGTTACTTACAGGATATACGGGGATATTATGGTCTGAATGAAATATCGGGTTTGCTTTAACTTGAATAAGAAGATTGTTTTGTGTAGCGGCCGTAGATATGGACCGCAATCATCTTGGTACTTAGCATACTTTTTGAACTTCCAGGACATTGTTTCCCGGGGCCTTCATGGTCGAGTAGTTAAAGTCGTCAGCTTCAAACCACTTGCTCCTCGCCGCTGTAAAGTATTTGTGTGCATTAACATCTGCGGAGACAGATCACGCGTTTAAAGTCCGAGTCCATAGTGCTAGGGATTTAATAATTCCGATAGTTTCTGCAGATGTTAATGCATGAACTCAAGGTGCATTTGTACTTTTCTTGCATAAAAGTAAACTTTAAATTCCATATCTGGTTATCTTTATTTTATATGAAGAAATCATTTTGTCATGGTTTCCACTGCTATTGCGATGTCGTTTGACAGGAATGCTTTGATAATGAAACTAGTGGGGCCGTCATTGCTTTACGGTGTTTTTACATTGCACCCTGGGTCACGCATATTAAAATAACGTGTGTGGTCATGCAAATGTTTGCTTGCGTGCGCAGTTTTTATGCAAGAATGCATATTACTAGTTCTAAAGACTTTTGACAGGTTATATGACCCTGTTTAAACTATTGGTTGTTGCAAATATTATCTGAGCCTGTAAAGAGTCATATATATATTTGTGCCACTATATATCATTCTGGGTTTATCGGTTAATGCACCCAATTATAGTATATAAATCACTTTTCATCTCACTGTATTTCACTTAAAATCAAAACGAAACAAAAATCATCCAGACCAAAATGTTTAGTAAAGATCCCAGGATAGCACCGCTTTGGTTTATCAATTTAGATAGATTTCTTTGTTATTTCACCTCCCTGAAAATGTTCTATAAATGCGTTCTCCTACTTACCTTGGATGGTAGTATCAGCTAAACCATCTTTGCATTCATTACGTATACTGAAGAAAACAAACTTTCAATAACTTAATATATTTGAGACCTAAACCATATTATAACATTTTATTTTTCAATATGCTATGAATATAAGTGTATTGGTAATTTGTTTTCTTAAACTTCAGATGCGAGTTGAGCAGCGTCCAAAAGATTCAGAGAATGAAAAAAGCCCGCATGGTGATGGCAAGGATGGGCCTCATAGAATATTTTGAGCCTTACACTGGCGATGAATAAACACAAACGATGAATAAACACAAACGATGAATAAACACAAACGATGGATAACATAAACGATGAATAAACACAAACGATGGATAATAATTAATTTGAAATAATTAAAAAAAAGTCATATATAACAATTAAACAGCTAAGCGTATAGGACGGTTAAGCACATACGATGCCTGGATATGCATTCGATGGTTATAACAATGAATAGATATAAACAAAACATGACTTAATATCAACTATTATTTAACATATGGTAAATTGGTGTAAACAATATATACAATATACTAGCAATTTCAAGGGCAGATGTTTAGGGGGATTGTGCAGCTTTGAAGTGTTTTGGTATTTTGTCAAGTTTTGTAACCTGAAATAGTAATGAAAATGTGTAAGGTAAGCATCTATAAATGATACAAATTGGTGTGCTTTCGGGGGCCTTGTCACCTGATCCCCTACCATGATTCTGCCCTGGAGCTGTATGAGTAAACTGTTCTCCTTTGTCACCCTCCACGCGTATTTATGTGAACTATCATTTTGGCTTCGGTGTGCTCTGAAAGAAAGCTATAACCAATTGAATGTGGTAGAAATTAGACCAAAAACCCATAATTATCCACCTTATTATATATCACGGATAACCCTGCACCCATGCACCGCCTACCCTAAACTTGAAATCTTTGATCCGCCGTTGTGAAAGAAAGTTAAACTTAAACAATAAATAATAATAACTATTTACATGACATGAATGAAAAATTAATCCAAACATATTATTTGCTTTTGTTTGTTTCTATTAGTTAAACAGTATCGCTAAAGTGTATAATAATAAAACATTTTGCTTTTCATCATACATTATTTTTTATTTCCTCATACCACTTAGTGGTCATAATATGAGCCCAAGAAAAATATTAAGCTAACCATGGAATTGCTTGAAGACGTTAGACAACTCATTCTTGCATGTTAGACTGTTGTTGTCGTTAGTTTAACTCTTGCTAGCATGTGTTGCCGGAAGAGTGTCATGCTCCAAAATGACGTCATCATAGGGCGTTTCAGAATGAATTAGCTCACTGCCTTGGTTTTTAGTATTACACCGTAGTGATTCAAACGCTTCTGAAAGAAAATGGTTATGGATGAAATTACATTAATTTATTTTTATGAAAAGATAATTTATTGAGTTTTTTTGTTTGATTTGACTTGATTTTACGTCACACCGACATAGTATGGGTCATACGGCGACTTTCCATCTTTATCGGTGGAGGAAGACCTCAGATGCCCTTCAACGCATTATTTTAAACCACAGGCGGACACCTGTGTAGAACCACGTTTTTTTACGTTCCCTAAGGTAGCTGGAAAGCTTCTTCGCATCAAAGAATCCACAAAGTCTCTGACAGGGTTTGAACCCATAGCGGTGAGGAGCAAGTGGATTGAAGTCAACGACCCTAACCATTTGGCCACGGATGCCAAATTTATTGGTATAAATTGTCTAAAACATGGAAAGGTATGCAAGACAAATATGAGAATTGTTTTCGCAACTTGGATCAGAATGACCACAAGGTACACCCAGACTGGATATTCCGATCCGAACCTCAACTTATTACAGATAGTATCGTTTCGTTGACATTCAAACAAAACTTGTCAGGTTTACACATCTATCCAGCTGTTATTTTGAGAAACAAATAATGTAGACAGGCTGACATTTGAAATGTTTATAGATAGAGCATTTTAACAATATAACATACTTACAAACTAACATGTCATACCATTTTCAGCGTCCGGATACTTCGTTTACTTAAATTTTGAAAAAAAGAAGTCATTAAACTGCAGTCGAGAAAAACTTTTTTAAGTTAAAACATATAAATGTTCTCTTGTGACGACAAGGCTGAGTGGTTAATGTGTTGTACTAGTTATCTAAGGATCGCTCCCTGTGTGGGTTAAAACTCTGTCAAGGGCGTGCCATTGTTTTTTTAGCAAGAAACATTAGCACTAGTTGGTTCAAAGAACAGATTCGAGAGTGTGCCTATAAGCTTTAAACTTTCAACACAAATGAACTAAATAAACCAAAGTTTCTTTCCTTACAAGTAAATTAGAATGATTATAGTTTGAAGAATGTTAAGTTACAAAAAAAATGTACGGCTTAAATCGTAATCTAGTTACGGATCATTGGAATCTGTGGAATGTATTTTTCATTAATATTATAAAGGTCTAATTTTCGAAGACATTTATTTATTTATTTATACAGCGGAATGTGTGCAGTTTAATGTGAATTTTCACACGACTCCCGATGGCTCTTTTTGAGCTTTGAAAAGTCGTGTTTAAAGTGTTGCATGAAACATTATTCTACAAACACGTAAAGGAATTTACTTAAAACTAAATACATTGAACATATTAGCAGGATCATCATTGAAGGTCATTCTCCAAGGCTCATAACTTTTACATAATAACAAAAATGGCAAAGTTATAAGTATTTTCCGTATTTTCACTTGAAAAATTTATTTTTACTGCAGTGAAACATATTTTCGGTATTTTCACTGGTATCTTAAACTTCCTATTATGTATTGGATTCCTAAATTACATAAAAAACCTTACAGAGCCAGATTCATTGCTAATTCTACATCTAGCACAACAAGTAAACTTTCTATTTTATTAACATCTTGTTTGACTGCCATGATAAAGTGTACGAAGATACCGGTAAACATCTATTTTGGTCCATAAAGAATTCCGGTGAAATTCTTGATAAATTAAAAATTAAGAACTATCAGGCTTCAACTGTCAGTACATACGATTTTTCTACCCTTTACACTACACTGCCACATAATTTAATTAAAGATAAACTAATTTCCCTTATTCAGTAAAAGTTACATTTCTTGCATGTAACTCTCAAAAAGCCTTCTTTACAAACTGTATTGTAAAACAGTATACTATGTGGACCTGTGACGAAGTTTGTAGAGCACTCTCTTTTCTTTTAGACAACATTTATGTCAGGTTTGGTAATACCCTATTTAAACAAATCATAGGAATTCCTATGGGTACTAATTGTGCACCCCTGGTCGCTGATTTGTTTTTATATTGCTATGAAAGAGATTTTTTGTTGAGTCTCTCTGAAATTACACAACAAGATGTTATATTAGCTTTTAATAACACTTCCAGATACCTTGATGACATTTTAGTTTAGATAATTCTTATTTTGATTAAATGGTGTCTAGTATTTATCCTACTGAGCTACAACTTAATAAAACAAATTCTTGAAATTTAACTACATCATTTTTGGATATTCTTATAACTATCAAAAACAATTCTATTCACACAAAAATCTATGATAAAAGAGATGACTTTGATTTTGATATAGTAAATTATCCTCATTTGGATGGAGACGTACCGCATGCAACATCTTACGGGGTTTATATATCTCAGTTAATTAGATTCGCTAGAGCTTGTAGCAACGTAAAGGATTTTAACGAGCGGAATATTTTCATTACCGGTTAGCTACTCAAACAGAGCTACCGCTATTATAAATTACGTAAATATTTTACAAAATTTTACAATCGTAACTTTGATTTAATTTCAAAATTCAATAGTGATCTGAAAACTCTTCTGCGACAAGGGATTAGCCAGCCTGAATTTTAAGGGGATGTTGTTAACAAACTTCGTAAGATCTTGGGTCATTGTAACTTTTCTGTTGCCTTTACTAAAATTATTAAACGTTTTATTAAAAGGAGTTATGACCCTACTATTTTAAGACATACCGCATGCTTAGTGTTCAACCCATTTACAGTTGGACGCTACGCTTTCCTCTTTTGATTACATATGACGGACCAAGTGGGAGACTCTATGATGGACAGTTCTTAAAGCCCTTTGAGACTGAATTGCCTTAATGTTCGTCTTCTGTCTTGCTTTGAGATGAACAGGTATTATACTTGAATGTAATTGGAAAACCATTTGATATCAAACTTAAAACTGTATAGGATGATCAACATTATTGAGTGGAAGACTATTATAGTTTTTGGTTTTTCATATGTGAAGGTCAAGGTCACTATGGCCTTGAATGCGAAAACACTTAATAAAGGGAGAACCACTTGACCCACAGCCTTCACATTTCATAAGATGATCGCCCATATTGAGTAGAAGACACCTGAGGTATTTTGGCGCAAATGCTTAAAAGAAATCCTGCTAAACTAGACATTGTAGTTTCTGTCCTCTCTCACTTTAAGACTGTATATCCTCCTTGAAACAACAATTATTGTAAAACATTCTCAAATATAATGATTTTAACATACTTCACACATTCAAGGCCACTGTGATCTTGACCTTCAGTGATTATAAACACATAAACAATAATGGGTCCTTATCAATGAGGGCGATCATCATAAACAGTTAGAAGGCTGTGCGTCAAATAGTTTTCCATTTACATGTTTTGAGTGAAATGGTTTTCCATTAAAGGCCACTGTGACCTTGACCTTCAGTCGTAGGTGATTATAAACATATAAACAATAAGGGGCCTTATCAATGAGGGTGATCATCATATACAGTTAGAAGGCTGTGCGTCAAATAGTTTTCCATTTATATGTTTTGAGTGAAATGGTTTTCACATTTAAGGCCACTGTGACCTTGACCTTCAGCCATAGGTGATTATAAACATATAAACAATAAGGGGTCTTCCAATCAATGAGGGTGATCATCATATACAGTTTGAAGACTGTGTGAAATGGTTTTCTAATTACATGTATTGAGTGAAATGGTTTTCACATTCAAGACCAATGTGACCTTGACATGCACACATTAGTCCCTAAAAGAGGTCATCTCAATAAGGTCCTATGTAGTTTAAAAGGATGTAGGTGAAATGGTTTTCTAATTACATGTATTGAGTGAAATGGTTTTCACATTCAAGACCACTGTGACCTTGACATGCACACATTAGTCCCTAAAAGAGGTCATCTCAATAAGGTCCTATGTAGTTTAAAAGGCTGTAGGTCAAATGGTTCATTATTTATTTATCTGAAATGGTTTTCACATTCAGTCACTGTGACCTTGACCT